TTCATGGATAACACGCCACACCCGCTTTGTAAGTAGTGCCACATTAAATGCTGCAAGATCTTTAATACCAAAACCACCTTTCTCCTTATATTTACAAATACTACTCCACGACACCCATGTCATTGACCTTTCCTCTATAGAACCCGACCAAAGAAAGCGTCTTTGTTTAGCAGTTAACTCATTTAAGACACTCAAAGACATTTTGAAGAAGGAAAAATAATGGATTGGAAAACTAATCAATATTAAGTTGATGAGTGTAACACGTCCTCCCATCAAAAGTAATTTTCCTTGCCAAGAAGAGAGTTATGCCTTGAATGCTTTCACGACAGGTTTCCAAAAATCTGTTCTAATGTGATTACCTCCGACCTGAAGGCCCAAGAAACTGAAAGGAATCCTCCCTTTTGCACGCTAGAAACTAGAGGTGGCAATTGAATCCATTAAGGCAAAATTCATTCAATCCATTTAATCCATCCACCACATAAAAAATAACTTAATGGATTGGATTAAATACATCCATTTATATGCATGGGTGGATTCAATCCATCCAACATATTTTAAGGATCCAATGGATTATTTTTATTTTTGTTAGATTTATTTTTTTAAAAATAATTAAAAATAGATTTTTTTTAAAAGAAAAGAATTGATTTTTTCCAATAAAAAAATCTGAAATATTTCCAAAAAAAATCGATTTTTTTTAATTAAAAAAGTCAAATTTTTTTTTGAAAAAAATCAATTTTTTTCCAAAATAAAAAATTGACTTTTTTCCTATAAAAAATTGATTTTTTTCTGGAAAAAAAAACCGAATTTTTTCAAAAAAAAATGATTTTTTTTTAAATTAAAATATCAAATTTTTTTCTTGAAAATATAAAAAAATGATTTTTTTTCTTAAAAATACAAAAAAAATATTTTATTTTTTTCATGAATATATTAAAAAAATAATTTTAAATACAAAAAAATGAATTTTTTGAAAATAAAATAAAATCGATTTTTTAAAAATAAAAAAATACATTTATTTTTTTGAAATAAAAAAAAAGTTGGATGGATGGATATCCATCCAGTAAAAATATGTTAATGGATGGATTGGATTGATTTTATTCTTAACGGATGGATTGGATTGAATTGATTTTATTCTTAACGGATGAATTAGATTGGATAATTTTAAGAAAATTTTAGTGGATTATTCATGGACTAATGGATTGTTTTGATCCATCTATTAACAATCCAATCCATATCCATCAAATCCAGCCATTTTGCCACCCCTACTGGAAACTATACTGATCTCGCCAAGAAATCTCCGTCCACGCCCATGCCATATACACAACTTTTACAAAAATTGATGTGCAGTCCTAAAATTAATTCAAAGCCTCGTAATATAGCCTTGATACCCCACAAGTTACTCCATTTCGCATCACAAAAAAGGATCGTATCATCAGCAAATTGAGTGATGCTAAAGTCGGTACCCTCATATAATTCAAAGCCTTTGAACAAACTTCTATTATTTTCCCTTCTCACTAGGCAAACTAGTCCTTCAGCCACAATGGTGAATAGAAAAGCTGATAAAGGATCACCTTGTTGTAATCCTCTTAATCCCATGAAATCTGGCGTTGTTCCTCCATTGACCAGTACATATAGATGGTTTTTCAACACAACACCATTCATCCATCTTAACCACCTCTCACCAAAATTCATAGCCTTCATAGTTTTAATCAAGAAATTCCACTCGACACAATTGTATGCTTATGCAAAGTCGACTTTGAATAGCACATATTTGTGCTTTCTTCTTTTGACTAGATCAATAATTTCATTAGTAGCCAACACACCATCTAATATCTGCCTCCCCGAGATAAACTTCATTTGGTTCTTTGAAACTACCTTGCCTATTACTTTGCTCAACCTCTCAGTCAAATTTTTTTATATAACCTTATATATACAACCAACAAGCCTTATATGTCTATATTCATCTAAGGATTGTGGATTGAAGTTCTTGGGAATCAAGGAAATGAACGAGGAAAGGAGAGCCTTTGGGAGAGAAGTTGTTTCATAGAATTCCCTAATACAATTGACAATATTCGGGCCTACAATAGACCAGCACCTTTTGAGAAACTCCAGGTTAAATCCATCTGGACTCGGGCTCTTGTTATCGTCGCAGTTACTTAACGCATCATAGATTTCCTCTTGGGAAAACTCTTCCTGCAACATTGTTTGCTCCATGGCAGTGAGCTTAGAGTAATCATAAAAATTCAAGGTTGGCCTTTTCCTTCCATTCTTCATAAACCTTGCAGACATATTATCTTTAATGACTTTCTTGACAGAAAGTACATCTTTAACAATTTCTGGCCCCACCTTAACAAATGAGATGAAGTTGATTCTAGCTCTTGTTTTCAATATAGCATGAAAGTACCTGGAATTTACATCTCCCTCCTTAAGCCATTTCACCAGTGATTTCTGCCACAATATACTCTCTTTTATTCTGAGATTGCACCAAATTGTATCGATTGCAAGGCTTCTTTTTTGCTGCTGCTTCTCCTGGATAGTGATTGTCTCATCAGGCATGGAATCTTCAATACGGTTCAACTCCTTCACGCCCTCCTCTACATTTAAATCAACCTAACCAAAAATGTACCTATTCCCCCATCTTAACTTTTCACACAACAACTTAAGTTTCTGAGCAAGAATGGCCCCACTATTTCTAATAACATCCATTGAATTGCATGAACTTTCTATAAATTTTAGAAATTCAGGATGTTCAAACCAACTTAAGAATACCTTAAATGGTTTGGGACCCTAGTTTTTCGAATTACTCCTCAACCAAATTGATATGTGATCTAAAATGTCGTGTTTACCTACTTATTGAGCCACAATTTTCCATTCTTTAATTATCCCTTCTATCAACAATATACGATCTAAGCGACTCCTATAGCCTCCACTTGAATTAATCCATGTATACTAATTACCTACTGCTGGTATATCAATAAGTTCCATAGCATCAATGAAAGCCGAGAATTCATTCATCTCAACCTCATTGTCTCTACCAGTCCCTCTCCTTTCCTCCATCACCTTAACCGCATTAAAGTCACCTCATACAACCCACTCTCCCTTTGGGAATTTATTCTTTACAGAGATCAACTCAGACCAAAGATGTCGCTTCCCCTAGCCTACATGACAAATATACATTCACCAAATAATAACATATATCATTCCACTAACACTGAATCCCCAGAAAACCTTCTCCTCTAAAGCTACTATCCATAAAGACAACCTTTTTATTCCACAAGGACAGAATACCATCAGATCCTCCTACAAAATTAATTACAGACCAGCCACAACACTCTAAATTCCAAATTTTATTCATAACCTCATTCTTCATGACCTGAATTTTTGATTCCTGAATAAAATAAATATCTACTTTACCTTCACTTATCATTTGCTGAAGTCTTCACTTCTTCAAGGAAGCTTCACACCCTCTGATGTTGAGTGACATTAAATTCATGACGCCCTCGTTGTACCCCCCCCCCCCCCTTCTTGGTTTCAAAGTGTATGTGGTCCCTTGACTCCAAATCCCTCACAACGCTTTCAAAGTATTCGTCGTGTTCTTCTCCCTCCACCCCAATAGCTTTAATCATCTACCACACCTTAGAAGACATCCTCTAGTGACTTCTTAAATATAACATTACCTTGAATTACATCACCATCACTTATTTAATTACAACATAAAATTGAGCCTCTTGAGTATTTTGAACTATCATCGCTATGACCTTCTATCTGATTATGAACTTCAGACCTTTTGGCTTCAAATTTAGATTCTGCTCCGTTACAGTTCATGTGAATGAGAGCAGAATAGTAGGAAGGGAGAAAAGGCATCTTTATTTGGTCGTATATGTCCTTCAGTGCTTTTGTTTTTCTTTCTTTAGACTGTGGCCCAATACTCCCAACAAGAAATGGACTTTCTATTATGGGGTCCAAGAAACTTGGGTTATCCTCAGATCCAACCTACATGTTTAATTCGGCCCACTTTCATTTAGTAAACTTCCCTCCCTTCTAGAAAACTTTGCTAAACACTGTTCCCCATCTATTAATTGTGTATCACGTAAAGACCCCCTAGTTTATGCGTTTCCTTTTATCAATGAGTCTAATAATGCCTTTTCACCTGCACACTGTGTCAGATCCCTCCTTTCTCCCTCTTCTACCTCGTCACATGTCCTGATGCCTTCTAGCCTTTTACTACCTACCATATTCTGCTGCGCCCCACACCTAGAATCATCATCATAATTTATGGACCCACCCTCTTTACCTTCTTCCACCCCATGGTCAACACCTTGATCTTCATCTCCTCCCTCCGCCATAGACATTGTTTATGAAATTGCTTCGCTTTCTTTAGAACCAGTATCCTCAAATTCATCACTTGAGCTTATCCAATCCTCCACACCATGTACAATTATTTGCTTTGGACCATGGAAGTATTCTAAAATTTTGATTCGGTAAATGTTCCCATTTATTTCCACATTGAACACCTCATTGGGTTAATGGCGAATTTGGTCTTAACCAAAAACCTTGCATTATCAATACGCTTCAACTTTTCAATATCCTCATCTACAGAAATAAATTCATCGACTCTTCCTGCAATGAATTTAAAAAAAAATCACTCCAAGCATGACAGGGTAACCCCTAGCACTTTAACCAAGTCAATCTTTCCTTGTCCAGAACTTCAGGAATCCATGGATAAATGTTCACAAACCACTTTTCCACCCAACTCGATTCATTCCTCACTAACTAACTTAACTCCTCAGGTTTATTTTCCTTTAACAGACTAAGTTTTCCCCTAGAGGAGTAGCTTTTATATTGAAAAAACCTTCCACATTCAAAGCTTCTTGGATGTTATACGTATTACCTGACTTGCATACCTATCCAACAAATGCTCTCCTGAATTTTATCATTTCTTCTTCCTTAATATTAAGCTTAAGGTGAGCAAATATAGGTTTTTCCTCCTGGTGATTCCTTGCTTATTGTCCTCCCACAACATCAGCATATGTTATATTCATTGTTTCAAAAAGCTTCTTCTTCTTTTTACTCAAATCCTGCGCATTTTTGGCCACCGACTGACCTTCTTCCATTTGGATCTTCCCCCTTTTGGCTTCCCATCTACGATTGAACTTAGGCAAGTTGGCAAATATTTTTCCCCTAATTATTATATTTTCCAACTTGACTGCCATTAATCTAGCTTCTTTTACTTTCCTGAACCTAGCAAATCCAAACCACTTTCCTTTTTTGTCCCTTCTAGCCGGTATGAAAACTTCCCAAACCAGCCCATGTTCCTTGAATACGTCAAACATCTCCCTAGATCCAAACTAATCTAGAATTTATGTGAAGAAGAATGATGTTATCCCTTTATTTTCCTCTAGTTTTTTTCCTTTTCTATCAACCCAAGAAGAACTTCTCAGCACCTAGTTCGTTGCATGTCTCTGCTTCACTTCCATGCATTGATTATCCATTCTCCCCATAAATGTACAAATACCAATCTTCACCAATAATGCAAAGGAGCTTAAAATCAAGGTACCTAATCCTAAGATTAGGAATTTAAACCAAATCAATTAAGCTTCTACATTACATGATGAAGAACATTACGCTAGTTTAGATGTGTTATTTTTGTTAATGAAGCATTTTTCAATATGTCGATGGTAGTTTCTCTCTCAACCTTTTTAACATTAGTTGTGCCATTAATGATATAAAGTTTTGATATAAAGCACTTTTCAATTCAAGTAAATTATGTTGGTTTTGCATTAAGCAATCTGTCGCGGCACGAAAAACTACTCGAGTGTATGAACGATTCAACAAAAGGATATGCACCATCCCATAGTTAAACTAGTACTATAAGGCATAGAATTCTTATAAACGGGATATTAATTATGATAGAGAAAAACATATAAAAATTTACATAATCAAATATGATTATGGTTTAATTCTTCAAATAAACTATGTTGGTCTTGCAAAACAATATCTATTGTGGCACTGAAGTTTATTTGTTAAGGGAAAACGTCATTAAAACCCTAAAAGAAACAAAATATGGTCATTGCAATCAAATTTAGGTTCGGGAGTCGGTTATGCACAGGGGAGTTATTAGCACCCCGAACATTCGTTCTAGTCAACAGGAACCATTTAATCATCTTTGTGAATATGAGTTTTAGCATAATGTGTTTATGATTTTTTCTAATTATTGGGGGATATTTACTAGAAAAAATAGGCCTAAAAATAAATTTTCTATTAGGGTGCTTGATGAGACGTTGAATCTCGCTCCTATGTATCCTCAGGTGCGATGGAATCTAAATTCTACATGTTCTTTGGGAGAACAATATATTTTTTTATTATGTTTCTTGACAAGATGTTGAATCTTACTCATACATATCCCTAGGTACAATGGAGAGCTCAAAGCTATGTAGTTCTTTACAAGAATATATTAATTTTTTTATTATAGTGCTTGATGAAACGTTAAATCTCACTCCTACGTATCCTTATGTGAGATGGAGAATTTAAAGTTGCATAGTTCTTTATAGAAAATGGTTGTGTATTGGTTGATTTTAGTGAACGATGTTTAGGTCACATCCGAGCGGTTGATTTTAGTGAAAGATATTTAGGTCACATAGTTCGTTTGTGAAAAATGTTGCTTAGTCGTGCTTAGGCAAAAAATGTACGTTTGATTCTTGAAATTGTTTTTAGCCGGAAGACGAATGCTCGGTTAGAACGAGGCCTATGCCTTGGGTTAGATTATTCAGGGATCAAAATAATGTACAACCAATTGTCCTTTTTAATCTAATTATTTATTAAAAATCATTTGTGGAAGACGAGTGATTGGTTGGGATGAAGTGTATGCCTCAGGTCCGATTATTTGGGGATCAAGAGGATGTGCATACAATTTTCTTTTTCAATCCAAGTTTAATTACGTATTTTTGGCGGAAGATGAATAATCGGTTGGAATAAAGTAAACACTTTGTGTATGATTACTCGAAGATAAAAAGTTTGTGCATCCAATTTTCCTTTTTTAATTTGATTTTATTGAAAAAATGTTTTTTGATTCAAGTTGTGAAAATAATTTAATTTAGTTGTGAAAAAGAAAGTTTAATTTTGAATGAGTTCATCACAATAATGGAAGTAATGTCGACTCAGTCACCACATGTGGAGTTCATCACTATAATAAAAACAATGTTGACTTGGATGCTACATGTGGAGTTCATCACTATAATGGATAATACGATGGAGCATGTTATCTTAACATGGTCGACGTTGAAGACTTCGACAGGGATATTCACTTCTTGGCGCCTAGAAAAGAAGTTGAGAAATTCAAATGATATCTCAAGGCAGGAACTGCGTCAGCATTAAGAGTTAGTAATAGAAACGTGGGAGCACTTCGAGGGAAACCGCTTCGTGGACTTGGGACGTGTCACCGTGGGAGTAATCTACCATTCTTAGACTGTTATCATAGAGTAGTATATAAGGACACTTAGTTTCATATTATAAAGGATTTGCAATTGTACACACATTTCTATAAACTCAAAGTACATGCGTCTTAAGAAACGAGTGAGGAAAGATGTACGTATGTATTCCACCATTTTGTACATTTCCAGCACTTTTACCTTAAAATTATTTTTATGCATTAAAATCATTTTCAATCTCCTTTATTTTCCCTGTCATTTTACATTACTTGCACTTTAATTTCAACCCTTTATTTTCCTACATTTGTCTTTCGATTTCAAAAAAAAATTCTTCACTTTACTTGCATTTTAATTCCAGTCCCTTCGTTCTTTGAACATTTTTCTTATTTACATGTAATCACAACAAACATTTTCGACAACGTTATGATTCACAAGTGATAAACACACAAATATGTCCGGGAGATTTTCAAGTTTGATCCCTTAAGTATTAATAGAAACGTGTATTTGTTTACCAAATTTCACAGTAAACATCAGGTTGGGCCAACACATCTATCCACAAAGGGAGCCATAGACGAAACAATAGTTTTTGACTCAAGGAACAATTTGATATACTTCGTGAAAATGATTTCTGAGGGAGTATCATGTGGGGTAATCAAGGAACTCATACAGTCATTTTCTTCCATCAGAGCTTTGGACATGGTTACGTGCAGCTTAGGTTCGAATGTAGCATTCAACCAAAGCTGTAAAAGCCACAAAGAGCCAGAGAGAAGGTATGACTTGTTGGTTTCAGGAAGGTGCTTTAATTTGTAAGAGGCGTTTTCGATTGATTGATATATATTGGCTAAGAGTAGCATGCTCAAGGGGATCTTTCGACCCACATGGAGTTGGATGTCTAGGGTACATATTTATTAGCTATCTGTAAAGAGCATGGGGCGAAGAAATAGTAGGATAGCCAAATGGTCAAAAAGGCAATACGTTCTTTGTTAGAAACTTCTTCAATATTTTTCAAGCGGTCAGTGATGTAGTTTTTAAAGCTAAAGTGTTCAAAGACTGACTCATTTTCAGTTTTTATTGTTGGGGTGAAGGTCTCATCTATAGGGTTAAGTCTCGTGATAGCTTCCAAGTCGAATAAGGTCAGCATAAGCATTTCACAAGGGAATTGAAATGTGTTTGTCGAACCTTCCTAAAAGAAGATCGACACAAGTAATATGGATGGGTTGTACCTAGGTCCGGTTCTAGAGATTTGGATCACATCAAAGATGCCTATTTTCTCCAATTGGCTTTTTCTCTTAAGTTGGACTTTTTCGATCCAGACAATGCACTCTTTGTTTTGAGTAGGTGGAGCAGATCAGAAGACACGCATAAGTGTTTCCATAGTGACAAGTCGATAGAGCGTTCTTTGAACGCTGAGGGCATGATAATGGGGTAGCATGGGAAGAATTTCTTCACCTTCCCAGGTTGTGACTTAGCCGTCGGGTACGGTCTTAAGAATGAAGAAATTTTATCAGAAATGGATGAGTACCTGATTAGCTCAAATGGCGATTTTTTCTTTGGTAATTGGTGGTTCAGGTATAAAATTTCTTCCTCGTTCATCTTCTAATGGAGGAATTACAAACACCAAAGGATTTTTCCTAGTATCAAGTTTGGAAAATGGAGTGGTTTCTGCCATTGTTGAGTTTGAAAAGCTTGTTGCGAAAGGGTTTTCTTTTTGTATGTAAGATTCTAAAGCGAGAGCAAAGAAAATGAGAAGAGAACATGAAGCAAGTATTTATAGAGTTGTTTTTCTTGTCAATGACTGACACATGACATAGGCGTGTTCATGTGAAATGCTTCATTTCTGAAGAAATGGGAAAGTTGGTAGAAGTGGAGTAGTTAGTTAAAACATGCAAATCCATGATCTCCTAGAAAATAGGAGTAATGATTAATTTCTAAGAAGATCTTCTGGAAAATGACAATGTGTATTAAGGTGGTAATGATGACGCTAACGTCTATGAAAGAGTTTGAATAATGTCGAAAATACTTTAAAAAATGCCATTTTTCTCCTTTTTGATTAAAAATTGAAACATGGCATTTTGGAGGACAATTTGTTACCTCAGATTTTTTATACAAGCATTGATTATAAAGATCAGATAAGTTTTCTTATTTGATGATAGGTTTATTTCCAAAATCTAAGTTGTTCGTTATGACCATGGGTATCTCAACGAATTTGACTGGTCGGGGAAGGGTCATAATTTTGGTCGAATGTTCAATCAGTAAGACCAAGGATGTTATTGGTTTTTGGATTTAGTGAAATCTAGAGTTTCCAAGATGTTTACATCTACGCAGTCAAATGAGGTGTAAGTGGATAAGATTAGACAGTTGTTTGAAGACATGTGGGAGCTTGTCCAAGGCGAAGATTGCATGGAGAAGAAGACGTTTCACATTTTGTTTAGTCGACCGTTGCAGACAGTTAGTTAGAATTAGTATTTAAGTAGCAGACACTTAGAGTTTTAGGAGTCTGCATTTGTACAAACTATGTAAAAACTCAAAGTATTCGTATGTTTGAGAGAAAAGAGTCATAAGATTGTACGTATATGTTTTCTATGTTATATTTTAAAGTCTTTACTTTCAATTCATTTATTGCATTGAATTTATTTCCACTCAATATTCTCTATTTCTTTTCATTTCGATTTCGATGTCAAAACTATAAAAACCTATGATTTTCACACAAATATATCCTGAGATCTTTTCAAGTTTGATTCCATAAGTAAACTCAAACTTATGTTTGTTTACTAAATTTTACAATAAACAAACGTCAAGCGAATTCGGTTGCTCACATATTAACTAACGCAACAAAGTTTTGGATAAGATGTGGTATTTTTTAGGCAAAATACATTTTTTGGTCTCTTAACTATACATCGGAGTTC